TGGCTGAGATCATGACCCTTCATCACGCATACCAGCTCACCAAAGTCGACGACATCAACGGCCATAAATAAATCCATCCGATCTGAAAAGGCAAAAGAGTTGAAAATTACAAAACAGGACTTGGGAGGCGGTTCTGACGGCCAATATAGAACAAAGACGAGGAGAGAGAGAGAGAGAGAGAGAGAGAGAGAGAGGGGTCAGGTGGGCAGAAGTAGGCAGAAGATTAAGAGAGAGAGAGGTTCCCTTTCCCCAACAGCTCAGTGCTCACAGCGGAAAACCAAAACACTCACAAATCTCACATTTCGCTTTCTCTCTCAAGAATTTCATCAAACACCCTTGTCTGCAAAGTTCAAACCCATTTCCAATTCTGCGAATGCTCTAGAGTCTCTCTCCCCTCTATATCTTATTCTCTGAAGGAAGAAGACAATGGAGTCCACCGAGGCCTCCTACATGTCGTCACCGGAGGCCCCGCGGAGGCGCTTATCGCCGCCGCCGCCCAAATCACCGGGTTCCGGTATCTCTCTCACTCTCTCTTTCTCTGATCCGATCCACTTTCTCTCTCTGCTGTCTATGTATTGTATTATGTGATGTGTGTATCTAGTGGCGATTTCTGTTGTTTTTGTATTCTAATTGTTTGGCGGAGTGGTACAATGATGAAAATGTCAGCTTCCTTGAAGTCAATTCCGTTTGCTTTCTGTAAAATGAAACCCCAACCCTAACCTAAGCCCGACGTTTGGTTTGTTTGCTGAGAAAATCCTAGGGGATTCCAATTGAATGAAAATAGGGTTGCAAATTACGTTTGAATTTGAACAATTTCGTATTCTGAACTGATGCCGAGGTGAGGGAGTTTCGTATAATTGTTATTTACGGCATAAATCGGATTTTGTTGCAAGTGTCTTAAGAGTGAAAGCTCAACCAGGGTCTGATTTCCGTATGTCCTAAATGCATTCGGTTTTAATCTTTTATTTTTTACTTGTTCCAGATTCTGTGGAGAAGCCTACATATGTTAGGTTTCTGGTATCAAATGCTGCAGCTGGTTCTGTTATTGGAAAGGGTGGTGCAACAATCACTGATTTTCAATCGCAGTCTGGAGCAAGAATTCAGTTGTCACGCAATCATGAGTTTTTCCCCGGAACAACTGATAGGATTATTATGATCTCTGGAACAATTAATGAAATAGTCAAGGCTGTGGACCTTGTTCTTGCTAAGTTACTGAGTGAGGTACTTTTGATGATGCAGGTTCACACCATATATGTTTCTACAATATTGGTAAAGTAAACTAGATATTTCTGGTGCTAATTATGCTCTTCCTGTGTCGGTCAGCTTCATTCTGAAGAAACTGAAGAAGTGGAGCCGAGAACAAAGCTGAGATTAGTTGTTCCAAATAGTTCATGTGGTGGCATAATTGGGAAAGGAGGGTCTACCATAAAGTAAGAACACAACATCATGGATTTTTTAATAGCATAACTCATTCTTGCCATGCTTATAGAACATAGTGATGAAATAAAATATCTTCTCTTAATGTTGAAAATCTGAGTTCTTGTTGTGAGACTAAATATTTATTTTTGTTTCCTTCAGTAATAGTAACAAAATAAAGTGACATTCCCTGGTGTTTGTATTTCTCTGAAGTATGAGTTCATTTAGAACATGCCCATATATTGCATCTTTACTTCACTACGGATGTGGCTAGGATACTTGAAAAAACCTAGAAATACAAGAATTGGCGAGTATAAACAAATTTCAATTTGCAGAGTTTTCTGCTGTCAGAAACTATTAGAGAATCAGCAAGGTTTTAACTAAAGCAGTGGATCTACAATAATATAATTGTTCTGATGTGAATTTTTTTTAGGGAGAGTCAGTTCCTTAATTTTGGGTTTCTGCTCACTAACATAAATGAGTGAACTGGACTTTGTAATTAAATAAAATCTCGGATTTGGAAAATGATGTGTGTTGATCTGGAGGTGACATGATGGCTGGTGGGCTATTGTATCAAAGAAAAGTTGTAGCTGAATGTCTACTGACAAAATTGATTACTTGTATGATTGCATAGACTCAAGATGCATGGCTCGAGATGGAGAGGCATTTTTATACATAGAATTGTTCTGCTTGAGGCTGGTTCATACGTCCTATTTGGAGTCCTGTCATAACTGATTTTTTTTGCAAATGATCACTAACATAAATGAGTGAACTGGACTTCGTAATTAAATAAAATCTCGGATTTGGAAAATGATGTGTGTTGATCTGGAGGTGACATGATGGCTGGTGGGCTATTGTATCAAAGAAAAGTTGTAGCTGAATGTCTACTGACAAAATTGATTACTTGTATGATAGCATAGACTCAAGATGCATGGCTCGAGATGGAGAGGCATTTTTATACATAGAATTGTTCTGCTTGAGGCTGGTTCATACGTCCTATTTGGAGTCCTGTCATAACTGATTTTTTTTGCAAATGATAACAATCATTTATCATGTTCAGCTTTTAAAATATGAAGGGTGTCGTGACCTAACTAGAGAAATTTATAGAAGTTGAGTAGAAAGGTAGCAGAGATGCACAGTTTACTAGAATAGAAGATATATGTTATTTTATAAGGATACTTTTATTTATGAAAAGAAAAGCAATACATGCAGTGACTAGGATTCTGCATTGGCAGTTCTATTAGGTGGAGGTTTTTGGTAATTAATTTCCCCTTCCTGTTATGTTGTCATTTGTTTGTTTCATGAGATAGTTGGGTGTAGGCTTCTCTTTACATGAGAAAAGCCATGGCCCATGCTAATGCCCTATTGCTGAGTTAGATAATAAATATATTTGCAGTCTTTTGGTGCTTAGACATTCAGACGAGATTCAGTAGTTACTCTTCATTAAAGTGTTATTGAACAGTGAAGTCTTTTCGTTGGTAAAATTTTGCAAACTGATACTTTTTAACTCATATTTGAGTAAACTTTCATGCTGTTCAATATTAGGGTCCTCATTTTTATGTATGTCACACAACAAAAATATATAAAGTTGCTAACAATTAAGATTTCCTTTGACCAGGTCATTTATTGAAGAATCACAAGCTGGAATTAAAATATCACCACAAGACAATAATTACTTTGGATTGAATGATCGACTGGTGACAGTAACAGGAAGTCTGGATGAACAGATGCGAGCAGTTGATTTAATTGTTGCTAAGCTATCTGAAGACTCGCATTATGCTCAGTCTATGAATGCCCCATTTTCATATCCAGGTGTGTCCGCTTATGATTGTTATCCTTAATTTATTGCCTTTTTCAAAATAAATAAATAAATAAAAATAGAAAGTTCTTCATTTATAGAGAGAACTTAGTGTGTTGGTGTGCAAAATATTTTACGGCGTAGAACATATTAGACCTAAAATGAACTATGCTGGAAAGTAGCCAAATCGGTGTCCTAATTCTACTGTAAACAATAGAAGTTCCAATTTTAATCTTCATTACCCCACGATGGGAATAAAAAGGGCATACCTATTAAAAGTACATGTACAGTTTTTAAGTGTGCTATCACTTGGAAAACCAATTGTGTAGAAAAGTCATTTCCTGCCATTTTCCATTGCGTATAATATTGAAGTGAATTTGAAAAGCTGAAATGGAAAATAAGAGAGATCAATTTCTATCAATGTATTTTTGATATAAAGCAAATTGTTACAGAGTAGAACGAAAGAGAAGTTATTTTAATTTTTGAGAAAAGGTTCTAAACTCCCTTAAGTTGATATTCTTGTGTGTGAAATAGAATGGCATATGTGCATATATTTGACTCATCTAATTAGACCACACTTAAATATTTGATTGTTAGTGAGGGCAAGCAAATAAATTTGGACTCAAGGACCAGGATCCAAATATCCCTTTGTTTATTTTCTGGGAAATTGATGGGAACAACCTGGGCTTGCACCAGGACAAGCCCTTGGAAAGTAGAGGATTTTAGGAGTGAGATGTCCCTGTAGGATCTGCTTCTGGACATTCTGCATCTATAACATTTTTTTGACAAAACGGATAATCAGATGAAATTCTTTTAATTTTAAAAATTTGGTGGTTGTAAATAGTGGTTCATGATGACCATTTGTTTCATAGTATGATTGCATTGTTTCATATAATTGCCTAGATTGGAGTATGTACAATTATGGTGAGATTGGAATCCTAGTAAGTTCTTTCCAACTGAACATATAGGTGTTTCCTTCTCGGGTTTTCATGGTATTCCATATACATATGTGCTTCCTTCTGTTGCAACAGCAGCGTACAATGCAATGAGTTATGGACCACCAAACGGGACTGGAGGAAAGTTTCAGAATGCTAAGGTTCATTCTTACACGCTAAGATATTATCTTATTTAAATTAACAAACATCCAGGGACTTGTATAATTTGAATATATATGCTTAGTAAGTGTTCATTTCTAGACTTGTTTGTGTTGGCCTGGGATAGTATTTCTGAATTTGCATTGAGATATTATGTGGGACAGTGGATGTGTTTGAAATTATGACTTGTCAAATGGTTCTTTTGGGGCCTGTTAGTCCGTTTGGAAGTAGAAAATGCTGTATGAACCTTATTTCCATAGTGGTTAAAACACTCAAGGGAATGGTAACATGTTGTTCGATTGCAGGTGCATAATTGTCATGCTATCCATGTATCGTCTCATCATCAGTTTTAGTAATCAAAAGACATCTGAGTCAAATTAAAAGTTGATTCATACTCTTTTAACTTTTGATTTTTTATTGACAACAAACATTTTGTTTTCCAGGAGGATCAAAGCAACTCGGTCACAATTGGTGTTGCAGATGAGCATATTGGGTTGGTTCTTGGTCGTGGTGGAAGGACCATAACAGAGATTAGTCAGGTTTTATAAGTACCAACTTTATATGTTCTAGCTTCATAACATCTGCACAAACTCTAACCAGAGCACTTTGTTTTGGCAGGGTAGTGGAGCCAAGATAAAGATATCTGATAGGGGTGACTTCATGTCTGGAACTACCGACAGGTATTAAAAATCTTGGCGTCGTTAATCTTCTGCCCCAAGCGACCATCTCTAAATCTCAACTTTCAAATCATGTGTCTTGTTCTACAGGAAGGTGACAATTACGGGTTCACAAAGGGCAATCCGTGCTGCTGAGTCCATGATTATGCAGAAAGTATCCTATGCTTCCGAGAGGGCAATGGATTAGCTTTCCAAGTATCCCAACTCGTTCTCTCAGAGAGTCTCTTGGCGGACGGAGCTGCCCGAATTAACTCATTCTCACAGTATGATAATTTGGTTCAGAAAATCTGAATGCTGTGGTAGGAAGCAAGAACGGGAGAAAAATTTCTTTTTGTCTGGAGCGCAATTTATAGGGACTTATCTTTTTTGTTTTTGAAGAGGGACACAACGTTGGAGAAAGCGATTATTTATTGGCTAAATAGAACGAATAGCTTTATTTCTTTATTTATACAGTTTGTAACTTCTGAATTTGTAGGTGCCATCTCAATATACGTTTGTAGCTTTATTTCCATGCAAATCAAGTTTTATAATGGAAAATTTGTTCTCCTGCGTCTCGGGTTAAAGCTCTCCTGCTCTCCTTAGTGATATTGCTTGTCGTCGACCCCGATTTATGTATATTTTTACACAATACAAGTTCTAGTGAGCTCATGTGATTTTTGTGGATACAAATTTTAGCCGTCTTTTCCTTTGACGAAAGTGCACTTATAAAATAATAACACTTAAGATTAAGGTCAAAAGCTTCAGGCGCCTACAATGAATGGGAGGTTTTGGCTGAAAAATCTTCGATGTCAAAGTTAGAATTTGAGAGAGAATGAACTTGCATTTTGGTGTGAAGATGAGGCTATATATAGGGGTGTAGCCAGCCCTCTTTTGAGTGCAGATTTGATAGAAGTGATGAGAGAGTTTTGAATAAATGTCATTTTGATTACCTTTGACTCTTACTTGATTGAGTTGTTATTGTCCGTTGCATGCACGTGGGAATCTCCGTATGCCTCGAATGTAATTTTGTCATTTTCATCCAAAAATCCATGTATCGTCTCCATAATTTTTTTGATTATTTATTACCCCACAATTTTCATACTTGGTCTGACCATTCAGGAATGCTGTAATTTTATTTCTTAAATAATTGGGACTCGGCAAGGAACTTTTGATTGTAAGAATTAGGATTAGGTCAAAATGTTGTTGGTATGGTTACCCACTCTTTATTTTCCTTTGGGTGAAAAAAAATTTAGGGGGAGTGAAGGCGGTCATGGTATACCACAAATCTCTTTTAGCACTTATAGATGATGTAATTTTTTTATTTTTATAAATCACCCATTAAGAGAGATTGCTGGTAACGGAACTCGAACCTAGGGATGGGTTGGAAAAACCAAAAACCAAAAAAAAACCGGACCGAAAACCAAACCGAGGCCGAAAAAATCGAACCAAAAGTGGTAAACCGAACCAAACCGAATCTGTTTGGTTCGGTTTCGATTTCTAGGGTTAGGAAACCGAACCGAACCGAAGTTCTTCAAAATGACGTCATTTTGTAATTATTTTATTAATTAATAATCCTATCCGAGAATGTCGTCGTTTACTGTGTAACCCTGCGTATTCCTTCTTCTCTCCCATTTTCTCAGTTTGACTTCGCGCATCCCCTTGACCCTTTTCTCTCTCTCTTTCTCTCTCGATCTTCAATCCCTGATCCTCCTTTCTTTCTCGGTCTTCAATCACTTATTCAAAGACTCAAACTCTCTGCCTCTCATTCCCAACACCGACTCGCGACCCTTGACGGTGCGACCCTTCTCAGTTCTCACTCTCAATCTCTCACACCTCGCCGTGAGTCTATCATCTCACCGTCAACTTCTTCTTGTAGTTCCAAGTCTCAACAGAAAAAGGTTAGTCTCACATTCTCACTTCTTGTAATTTAGATTAATGCATGCACAATTGGAGAATACCCATGTTTCAGAAATTGTAATATTGGATTGATTATTCTCTGTCTTGATTGAAGACTTTGATGGTTTTCTGGGATTTTGAGAACCTGTTTGTGGGTATTGCTTTGAATTTTAGATGTATATATACACAATAAAACTATTGGTGGTTACTATTATCAGATTTCCTGCTCTGCACTCTTGTTTTAAGTTCATCCAAATCAGTTCATCCAAATCATTCCTTGAAATTTATTCTCACGGGAGAGGTTTACAATTTACACTATGTATTTTGGAATCTTATGGGAATCTGTAACTGGTCTTTTATTATGCAATTAGGTGAACCAATATGCAGAACCATAATTATAGTAAAAACATATTCCTTCAACCACAGTATTACCCACCAACAACAAAAGTAACAAGCTTATCTTGCTTAATTGTTAAAAGAAATAATAGTAATAAGCGTCTTTCAACTATTTTTGAGAAAATGGAAGACAATTTTATCTTATTTTTAGCATATTTGATCTTCCAAGAGAGAATTAAGATATAAAATGAATGACGGTTTGTATTGAGGGCATTTAACATGAAGTAATCACAGAGATATGAAATGTAGAGAGGTGTGAACAGATGAGGGCATTGAACTGTGCTAGTTGTGCCTACCCAATTTTGGGTTCGACCTTCGACAAAGGATTTTCTTTTATGTTCTTTCCTTGTTGGTTATACATGTTGATTTTGATTTGATGTTAAAGTTACTTTAGTATAAGAACTAGTGAAGTATTCTAGTTATGGAAAGTTCGATTAGCATGGGGTTAACTGCAAACTGCAAAGCAAATGGTGAGGTATTATATGAGTTGTTTGTCTAGTAGATATGTTAAACCAGAGTGCTGTCATTTCTTCGAGTCAGATTTTGTGAGGGGGTTTTAGTGTTAAGTGGATTTTACAAATCATTTGATATAGGTTTGATTTCATTTGGTTTATCATGGTATACACCTCATAGGTCTGTTCTGTCTTATTCTTGCGGCATTTTTATATAAATTTTATACCAATAACCGAATCTGCACCAATTTACTTTTGTATAAGTTTGTAGTACTATCTACTATCCTCTTATTATTTTGTGTGAATTAGATGAAGTCAAAGGTCTCAAGGTCCTCAAGCTCAAGTTCAAACTCAATGTGATCAAAATCAAATAGCCCTCAGGATCAAATGAACTCATCTTCGAGTAGAAATTTAGAATGCTTATTTTATCGATTATGTTGAAATGGGATTTTGATTTTATTTGTACTCCTCTAGAAGTTGTATTACAAAATGGCTGCAAGTTGTTTTCTTAGATTTTTTTTTTTTTTTTGCCATTAAAAGAAAAAAAAACCAAACCGGGCTGAAATCGAACCGAATACAAACCAAACCGAACACAAACCGATAGAAAATCGAACCGAATCGAACCGAACAGTAATTTCGGTTCGGTTTCCGATTTTGTCAAAAAACTGAACCGAACGGAACCGAACCCATCCCTACTTGAACCTAAGCCTTAATCTAGTAAAGAGAACGATTATTACCAACTCAATCAACTCTCGTTGGCTATGGTTACTCCCTATTTGGGAGAACTAAAATCAATTAATATTCTAATTCTTAACTTCCTATGTGTTTACTAAAGTGTACATAATTAAAAAAAGATGATTGTGATTTTCTGTTAAATTAGTAATCTAATAACTATTTTTTTTTACAAACAATAATATTTACACTAAAGGGGTGGGGAAATGGGCTAAGTCTCATAATGGGCAAACAATAATGTGATTCAAATTCGTCTTTGGTGAGAATCGAACCTAAGATCTCTCACTTACAAGTAAAGAAGAATATTATTAGACGGTAGCACTAAGCGACAATTAGTAATCTAATATTTGAAGATCATGAATAAAATCAATTAGAGAGGAGTCGTCTGATTTGATTTACTTTTCTTTATTTGCTTCATGATTTCTTACTTTTCTTATTTCTATTGGGTAAACATGTCATTATATTATTTTACGGGTAGTAAAAGGTGCAAAGGCCATTAGGGCGCACACCTTAATTAATGAGTTAGTTTGTACACCTAAATTAAAGTCGTTTACCATCGTCAAGTGGGGTCTTGTTCGTTTTTATGTTTTGGATTTACCAGCAAATTATCTCTATATATTAGGGGTGAGCGCGGTTCGGTTTGGTGCGGTTTTGAGTGAAACCAAAACCAAAACCGCAAGTTTTTGCGGTTTGGTTCGGTGCAGTTTTGAAGCCAAAATCAAAATGAAACCAAACCGTTTGGTTCGGTTCGGTGCGGTTTCAAACGGTTTCGGTTTGGTTTTTAAGAAAAAATGTACAATTTGCAATTTAACATATTAAAAAGCATTTCCCAATAGTAATAGGAAAATGACATTTGTTATGTAAACAATTAGCATGTTGCATGTAGTTGTGATGTTAAAACATGTTTGTGCAACAAAAAGGTGTCCCTTACAATATTTTTCATAAAACAAGTTGAATAAATTTGAATTCATTAAACGTGAGCAAAATTTTCATACTAGAATATGTGATATCATGCTTCAAATGAGTGGCTTTTAGTAGATTATTGTTCGACTTTTGATAACAAGATTAGTCCACCCTTGTACATATATGTGTGTGTGATGGTATAAAATAACAAAGGTCCTTCAAGTTAATGAACAAAAGAAGGTGATGAATGATGATATTCTAATGTGGTTGAGTCCATACTAAGTGTATGGATTTTAACAAATGACCAATTAAAACATGAAATCTAATATGGACATTTAATTAAATGTTTATTAATATTTGCGGTGCGGTTCGGTTTCGGTGCGGTTTTCAAAAACCAAAACCGAAACCAAACCGTTTTCTATGTTGCGATTTGGTTTTGAAACCGAAACCGTTTCAAAACCGCAAAACCAAACCGTTCGGTGCGGTTCGATTTGGTTCGTATTTCGGTTTCGGTTTTCGGTTCTAAGTGCCCACCCCTACTATATATAAAGCCAACACTGTTGTGAACAATATTTTTTGGGTCACAAGCTCATCAAAAAAACAAGTGGACAGTAATTCCTTCCAAACAAAAAAAATTTAAAAGCAATTCAAAATAATGCACCAAATAATGCAAGAGTATTTTCGTCATATAAACTGTGTTTTTTTTAATAATTACTTCTTTTGTACAGTTTTTTTTTTTAATTTTTTAATTTTTTAATTTTTTTATAATTAGTATCTCACAATAGGCTAGCAATAATGTGATTCAATCTGTTGTTTATTAAATATTATTTTCTCTATTTTTAAACACGTTCAAAACATTTTAAGAGGCGCGTAATGCCGGTTATAAAAAAGGTTTTTGGCATGCGCATAATAATGTGATTCAATTAGTTGTCAAATGATTGTTTTGTTTTCAAACAAACGATATTATCTACACTAAAGGGGAGATGGTGTGCTTAGCCTTACAACGGGCTAGCAATAATATGATTTAATCAGTTGTTTATCAAATATTATTTTCTAGCTTAATCTTTGGAGAGAAGTGTTGGAATCTAAAGGTCTTCGCCTAAGCCGATCAAAGACAGAATATATGGAGTGCAAGTTCAGTGCAAATGGAGGCCAAAACGAGTTAGGGGTGAGGATCGGAGATCAAGAAAT